TGATTGGGCAAGCCCGGCCGGACTACTAGGTCCCCACCGCGGTGTTCTGTCTGAGGGTCGCGAAGCTGCTGGAAATTCAGGGAAACCATCATTCAGTAGAACCAATAAACCATAGCCCATAATATGAAAAGACTTGCTTGCAGGAGAGACCTTTATTTTGATGATGGGGTCAAGCACGAAGGAAAGCGTCATAATGAAATGGCGTTGTTTGCCATCAATATCTGTCAGCCTGCTGCCATAAAAAACATGCGCATGGCAAAAATGCGGGTATGTTGATGTGCGCCCACATCGATATCAGAACAGCATAGCACAGCACTATGGTCCTCTCCCTTGGGCCAACAGTCAGAGTGTGTGGTTGGCCTCCCCACGAGCTCGTACCGTAAAAAAAATATCAACGTTGCCACCAGCAGGTTTTGCCGCGGTCGTCGTCAATCCATCTTCTCATGCACACATATTGATGATGATGGCGATGGTTGTGGGAATGGCTACAGTGCATCACCATTCGTGTACGCCCAACAAACTTTGCATGTACAGCAGGTTTCCACAAATGCCCCTGGTGTGAAAGGCTTCGACTGCAAGGCTGTTCATAGGCGAAATGACAGTCATTGACTGTTCAATTCTAAGCATCAGCGAAGCCCAACTTCCTCAAGAGGGTTTATACTGAGGACTTATCAGGTTCGAAACAATCGTCCGCGTTCGGCACGAAAAATTGCTCGGCTTGGAAAAACATGTGCCTGGGCATGCAATCAAGAAACTGACAGTCAAGCAGCGCAGTCTTCACAAGGGCCGATTTGTCATTTAGAGCGTTTCAAGGGTCGAGATCCCACCGACCTTTTGGCGCCGATAATCGGTCTAGTTTCAGACCACTCCACAAACGGAAACATGGCGACATGAAGAGGTGACTGACTTGGGTGGCGTAAAACTAGGTTGGGTCAAGAACTAACACATCCAGATGGGAGTATCTCTTGGTCCCTTAGTTTTCAGGCAATGCTTGTGCACTGTAGTCGTGGCGATCCAATGAAAACCAACAGTTTGCTGCCCTCATAGACCGGATTCCCATGTCGGTTTCTCTCACAAGCTTAGCCCGGTCGAAAATCAATTCAGACACACGCAGAAACTCACATTGGGCCGCGCACTGAATATACACGACCCCCACAAAATTTTTCAAGTCTTGCCCAGAAATGAACCCACAGCACGGAAACCATCATTCAGTGGGTTCGCGAGCATGTTAGAAGCTCTCGTTGTGGAGGGTTGATCGCACTCTACAGAGGACTGGAAGCTTGCACCGCTCGGATGCCGGTTGGTGGACGCGGATACGACCACGGGAACCAGTGATGGAGGGTCGAGAGACGAGCCCATCGTCCAGGTGGACTCCAGTCCAGATAACACTATGGAGCTCTTGCCCTGGGCGGCCGTCAACCGAATGCCCATGGCAAGCCATGGAGACTAAAGGTGATGAGGCTGTGTTGGTGGTTGGAAATGCTGATGGAGAGGAGCGGCAGCTGCGGACTGATTGTCCTGTGAGATCCGACGATGGGATGAATTGAGGGTTGATGCAGGAGGGTTCATGTTATTTTTGTTATCAGAACTGATTTCTGTGCATACAGTATCATAATCAGCCGAGCAATGCACCCTAACAGTGGAGCTCTACGGGACCACTTGGAGCTTGTGCCCAGTGTTGCGCTTGTTGAACCTCACTCTCTCCCACTCTCTGCCGGTCGCGGCCCACATATCTAATGCCTGGGAGAAGCAGTCTTCAGCATGCCAGTGTACTTAATTGAGAAGCAAAGAGCATAAATCAAAGAGCTGGCAATGGCGCTGTGTATTGATTGAGGCAGGGTGAGCACGAGCCAGCACTGAATGGTTGTGACAATATGCCTTCCTTTCCCCTGAGCGCCATGCTCTGTTCAATGAGCATCCGTAGCTCTGCCACATCCCGAGTTCGACTCTGCTCTTCCAGCTCAATCCTGCCGTATATGTGAACAGATTGCAGCCAGGATTCAGCGACAGCAGATTATGACACGGTACTTATTAGCATCATCAACTCGATTGCACATTACCACCAGGCAAAAGCGTTGACTCCCTCAAGTGCAATGCCTAATTAGGGTACTGCCATACAAGACATTTTAGCTACAGGCTACAGCAGCAGCCACGCGTGCGGAGCAACAAATTCTGTCTTTGCTTGGCATAGCTTCAGAAAGTGCTTGGAATGCAATGGTGCAGCTTGTGAGCTTCAAATCCATAGCATCCATTTGTCAAAAACTCAGTTGTCTCTTTGATGGCCAGGTGGCCAAACACGAAGCCTGACGCGTAGAACCTCAAGACCTCCTTATGGATCTTCGCTGAACACAAAAAACCCTAGATATGACTCTGACACATTTGCCGGCAAAGCTCATCTGGACGAGCGCCTCCCATCTGGCCTGGTGCTTTCAGGGGCTTGCTGGCGCAGGCGTTGCTTCATTTCCGCCAGTGACGAAAAGTAAGATCATTTTCGTTGTTAGGATTATTCGCTGGAGGGGCCAAGCTGGATGAGATTGCGGCGGCCTGTGCAATCTCTAGGTCAGTGGAACAGCTCGCAGGGGTGACGTCCTGGTGACAAATTCCAGTTGAGAAAGGTAAAGGTTCCAGACCAGTCAAAGCAGTAGCAGATGCTGGATTTAGCGAGCACGCTGATTAAACAGGCATACGTTGGGATCTTGTGAATGCTAGGGCCTTTGACGACATTATTGGAGCACGATATTCAAATGGACAGTGCTGCCCTAGCCATGGGAGAGCCTGGGTTTCAGGTACAGATCAATCCATCGGGAAACCGGTCCTGATTCTTTCCTGTGACTTTGTGTTCCTCAGCCGCTGAGGCGCAAACATGGGCAATTCTACACAAGCTTGTGTGTAGATGTAAACATGCATGCATGCGTTGTACCTTCATACATGCACCTATGCATGCATACACACATGCCTTTGATACCTCATAGACAGACACGCTAAAAGCTATATATATATTAAAAAAAAAACGTGCGCTCTGCCATGATACAATACCTCGCAGCACAGAAGCCCGCTATCATCATCCAATCGGAATGAGCAAGCTATTTGGGCACACGTGGGCATGGCGCATTCTGATGCTGCCCGCTGTGCTGCAGTATGCTGCAGTAATATCAAAGTAGAATCGTGGAATGCCCCCAGCCGGCAATGCTACCATGTTCTCCGCTTCAACGACTCAAACCAGGGTCGACATACTACATAGCTAGGGCATATCACACACATCACATATTCTACTGTTTCCTGCAAAGTGCCGTGAAAACTTAATGCCCGTTACGAAGTTGTGTATTGCAGCTTGAATCTCTTGTGGCTCACCTCTATGCTTATCACAGGTAATAGGCAACTTCATCTCTGCATCCATCGGCGTGTTGCATCAAGCGCGGTTCAACTGTCAGGGGGCAATATGGGACAATCAAACGCGGAGATCGTTCATCGCCAAGGCCTCTGAAGTGGCGCCACTGTCGACCGCACAGTCTCCGCAACTGTAGGCAGCTGTAACACTGTACTGAGCCCTTCTTTCCTGAAAGTGCCACATTGCTTTTCAGAGGCAGCGTAGCTCCTCGCCAGCGAGATGCAACACTGCATGAAGAAGTTAAGAATCCAACCCAGCAATCGAGGTCAAGAAGCCTAGATGCCTTATGTAGTCGGCAAGTCTTTCCAACGCACTCCGATCAGAAGTCTGTGATGCCATGATGAATCTGTTCTATCAAAGATTAAGGTGTTTGCTTCGATGCAGCAAGCCCTACGTGAAATCCGGCATTCGAAGTACCGAGCATCCATGAAGAGCCCCGTTGACCGAGCAGGTGATGCCACCAGCCGCGGCTCATCGTCTGACTTCCGCAGCAGGAATGGCTCCTCGGAACCAGTTGTCAAAAGCTTCATAGCTTAAGAAGCCAAAGATCTAAAAGGGTTGCCTGAGAATGGAGTCACTCTACTTGCCATCGGGATTGTCAAGTTGCATTTAGGAATCAGGAAACTCTAAAAAGCTGCTCTTCCTTAGATTGTGACGGTCATGACATCCCCTCTTCAGCTGTTTCACTAGGCCCTAGGCCCAACACATCCGTGTCCTTACTTCCTCAATCTTCGTCACATGCATAACAGGTCAAAAGGCTGCTTCGGTCCAAGCGGCATCATGGTGCTTCAAGAGGTTCTCCATGCTTTGCAGCTGTTGCGACAAGAGGGCCAATTGCCGCGCGTGGTCCTGCAAACTGCACGACAGTCATACCCCTATCCTGAAGCTGGCACCCTTCATGTTGGCCGCAAACACGGGAGAGCACCATTTTTGGCTCTCACGATTCAATTTGCCGCCAAAAGACCTGGCAAGGCCTAGAAACATGCTTATCCCGGAGCTTGTGTTGGACTGGCGAGGCGAGAGAGAAAAGCAATTGAGAAAAGCTCTCTGCAAATTGCTCACCAAAAGCGAGACTCCACAAGCGGCAATTTTCCGAATTCAGTCCTTTGACCATCCTACTTTGGCTTATTGCGTCAAAAACATGTTGATATGCTTCGATGTTTTTCAATTTTGCAAGTTCAGCATGGAATCGAAACTCAACACTCTTGGAGCCGTTGCTATTCGCTACTCACGGCCACGGACGAATTTCTTCAGGCGCCGCAACGCGAGCATTTCACCGTAGTGTCCAAGGGTTACTGCACGCTATATGCAAATGTCCCGACCGAGTTGGTTAGCAAACTGGACTGCACACAGCACACGGGCAGGACGGCCTGCAGCTGTTTCTGGAGCTCTGGCGCCGCCATTGCGGCTTCAGGGAAAAGGGCGCCGAGTCGAGGTTAACGCTACGCAAGAGCCAGAATTCCAGCATCTGCTTCATGATTAACTCAAAGTGAACTCACGCCATGAACATAAGAGACTTGAGTTGCCTCACTGACACGCGCACCCAAACTTCACGAAAGAGATCTCCTCACTGTAGAAAGCCACGGTCTCAACAACTTTCTAGGTCACTTGCTTTCGACGCTCTTTCTCCAGGATGGACTGCTGGTAGTGCAGGAAAACCTGACAGGAATGTCTCCCACAGACCCGCGCGGCCATAATAAAGGATAATAAAGGGATCCTTCCGTAGCACCGGTCGACTGCATCACACAAAATATATAAAAAGTGATTTAGCTTTAAAGAAGCTCTCAACTTGAAACATCTAACTTGCGGCTTGGAGTAGGCAGGTGACTTCGAGAACCCTCAGCCGCCTGGTCCTGATGCAGGAAGAACGGGCCGAGCAAGTGGGTCAACCAGCGCGGCAGAGGGGCCTAAGCTGACCGCCCTGACAGCCCTGCTTTTGCCCCAAACCTGTTCAAGTGTGAAGTTTTCGGTGCAGTCTACCCATGAGCAGCAGCATGTGAGCGTCGGCTTTTGTTTAGTACCTGGCCCTTATATGCCTCATCTCGTTCGCTTTATATTGAACCTTGTATTGTACCTTGACAAAATCGCCTGATCTATGATTATCGCTTGTCTGAAGCAGGCTCAGGCAGAGGCACTGTAGATAGCGAATCCGTCCGGCTTCTCGCCACTTAGTTTGTGTGCACAATGCGAGATTGCGTCCAGTCTAACTTGTGAGAAAACCCCGCATCTATACAGGCTGAGCGCAGTGTGTGCAGAAGCCATGACACGTTGTTCGCTTAACATCCATGAAGCCCGCGTGCACCAGGATTTTCTGTCATGGCACTTCTCGCCGGTAATCATCAGCGTAGACCCAACCAGCCTCGACCAACCTGGCCTGCGCGAACATACCACAGACTCAATCTTACTCTGTCCGCGAACATGCAATCTTCGACTGTACATGATGCCGCTGATGGGGCAGACATTGTCAGGGCAAGCTGGCCAGGGGCACTTCGTGGGAACAAAGTTGATGACCAGGGTCAGGGAAGCACCGTGGTCATAAGAGGTCCTGGCATAACAGCTACGCGAATTTGAAGAAGGCACCAGCACCAGAATCTCTGCTTGGGCAAGCTGCCAAATTGTGGATGGAACTTTTGATATCTTCTGATCTAATGTTCACGAAGAGCGCTCCATCCCTGAAACTGAATTTATTGCCAAGATGCGGGAGTAAGTGAGCCACACTCGCTTCTGCTTACATGATCAAAGGATGACCATTTAAGTGCGCAGATGTGCACGGGATACCATGCCCCTGCCAAATGAAAAGCTCGCTCAGATGAAGTTCCAGTCCAGGAATCCCCGACCGAAAGGATAATGCCAGCGCAACACCTGCAAAACTTTCTGACGAACATGTGCAAAGCACGTTCCTGATGTGCATTTGGCACGGCGGCTTGAAGTCCATCGTGCTGACCTTCATTTGGTTGCCTATCCCATGGCCATGCAGGCCTGATCTATCAGACAAAAAAAACCTGAATTTCACCCCACTCTTGGCCAAGGAGTATGAAGGAATTCGAGAACAGCAGCAGATACTAATTTGACTCAACCGGATAGGTGATGTGTGACCGTGGGAGCTAGACTGGTTTGCATGTTAGTAGACGGAATCAGCAGCATGATCGAGTGTTAGGTAGCGGCTTTCAAGCGTTCCGGGTCAAAATTTTCATTTGCTTGAGCAACAGCATGACGAGGGTTTAGCTAACATAGCAAACCTTATCCCTACAAGCTTCTCAGATTTGGCAGTATCTGCGAACATTAGCTCAAACGCTGAGGAGTCTAGCCGTCTTTGGATGATCATTGATGTTGGGGATTTTGGAGCCCTGTCTTTATGGGATGGCAGGCTGACGTTCCACGCCACTTAGGAAATTCTGCAACACCAGGCTTAACGGATCCATGCATACTCCAGCAGTGAAAGAGCCACCTGACTGCGCAATCTAGGGGTCTAGCCGCTGCATCTTTGCCCAGCTGTTCAATGGTGTACCTTGAAGGCAGTTTGACTGACTGCAGGACTGGTAAAGGAATGCAGAGAGGCCAAGAGCAACTGACAGGAGAAATGTGGAGAACTTATAACCACCTGCCACATCTTTCAGGCATGCGAAAATCTGATTGTGCCAAGTCCGGATCCTGAGGATCACGCTTGAAGCCATCCTTGTTGCTGGGCCTTGAAATGCGGATACAGCCCAGCCCGGCAGTCTCAGAGTGTGACCACTTCAAGTCATGGAAGCCCCATTGCTTAACTGGACTGTGGACAAAAGATGACAAAAGTGAACGCAAGAAAGCACCCATGCACAGCAGGCCTAGCGAACCTGCTCATGTCCAAAAAGCAGGAAATGTGCAACCGCCCGGGACATCATTACATACAAAGCTGCGACATACCTTGATCATGCCCTCTATGCACTGCCCTCTGGTCGTGACCTGCTGGCTGCCCAAGGGCCAGGTAAGCTTGCTGAATCCGCAATCTGAGTGCAACCATCAACTCGGGCAGGCTGCTTGCGAACAAAGTCAATCTTCAGAGGGCAAGGATCCTCATACCTCCAGCTGCTGTTGCATTGATGTTCATGACGGTTGCAGAATTAAGCGAGCGTTTGGGTGCAGGCACAGCTTGTCCCAAAGCTTGGAGGTGAGGGATAGCACGTCGCCTGTTCGACACAATGTTGTGGTGAGCCACAGCCACGTGGGCAGGATCGGTGACGTTCTCGAAAGCCACCTGCACCGCCCGGCTTCAGGCCAAACAAACAAGAACTCAAGGCCTAAATGACTGCACAACATGGAGCCTCCCAGCCGTAGGGAACATCACGGTGAGACCAAACCTTACAGTAGCATCTTGGAATCATACTGATCTTGGTAACATACTGTGCGCACTTCTCCCCAAGACCTGACCTAGACATGTTGAGCCTGCGAAGAAGCAATGTATGTCATACATGTCTTTAAACCAGGCTGTGTCAAATGATTGAAGGATGCTGCGGACGTCCGGGCTCCAGGCAGAGAATTTGGCCTGAGATTCCAGGGTGGTCTCTTGCCCCGATGCACCATATTTACCAGCCACCATGCGCAGGTTCATTTGCCAAAAAGCACCAATCCAACAGGTGCTGCATGAGACAGAAATGACACTTTCAGGACCTGCGGTTCATGCAAACGCTGGGCTTTGAAGGTTGGGATGAGGAATCCTCACTCCTTGTGTCCGAGATGCCCGTCCCTCGTATGCCGGATCCTCTGCTTCTGCGGGGATGTTCGGCTCCTGCATTCAAGGGGCTCGCGCTGTGTCTAGCCCTCGGCTTTTACCGAAAGTTGCAAGCGTGAATTCGAGAAGTTGAAGCGATGCCTACCCTCCACACGGACTATTGGCACCACACAGGTTCAAAGAATGACACTTGGGGTTGAAGAAAGACATGTTTTCAACTGCCAAAGAAATGACGATTCCTGCGAGCAAGTGCCTTCTCCCTCCAAACCAACTCGGCCGAAGTTGGAGGTCCAGCCCCGAAAGGTGTGAAGGGATGGGGTACATGAGCTGGGATAGCACAGAAGTTCATTTCCACAGAGCGACCTGGATAGAAAGGCGTAATTACTTGAACAAGACTTCTTGCACCACAGGATCCATGTAAGCGCCCGAAGCCAACCCGCTGCAGGCACCACCCACTGAAATTTGAAGGCACCACCATCTCTGGGACGAGTCAGGCTTCAAGGCAGCTGTAGGCTTGAGCTTAGGGTGAAGGAGTTCGTGGCAAAGTTAGGGGGTTGCAGGGTTTGGGCTTCATGCCTCGAGTGCAAAGCTTTCGGCTCTGCCACGCGCACCGCACCAAGACGTTCAACTTTACAGGGCAGGAAGTCTGGTAAATGTAAGAGCAAAGGTAAGTCGTAATGTTGAATCCGGATTCGTGTCGGAGGTGGAGGCGCAATAAAGCTTTCAGAAGCATATTCTGGACCCCCTATTTGATTTGGGAAATGCCAACTAAGAAGAATTTGTTCTGCCAGAAAAATGTGGTGAAGGTTCTTGATGAGGCCAGAATGCGTTTCCTGGAAAACGCCGGGCCTTGAAATAAAAGAACAGGCTAGGCAATCAAATTCCAAAAGGGGGCAGTTCATCACCCCCCCCTTCCTGATCATCAATAATACAAAAGATGGAGATGGGGGGGGGGCTCAAGTATGTCAATGTCTTTTGGCTGGATTAATGGTGAGGCCAAACAGCTGTTACACTTCAAGGCCTGGGCTTTTTCCACTCTTTATTACCTGTGGAATCTGGAGTCCACGCTGCGAAAGCCATCGGTCTCGTATCTACCGCTTATTCAAACAGGCTAGGCAATCAAATTTCAAACGGGGGTAGTCCAGCAGACCCACTGACCATCACTGATCATCTATAATCGAAAAAATGGGGGTGGGTGGGTGGGTGGGTTGGGGGGGCTTAACTCAGCAAGGCTTTTTGCCCGGGCTCATGGTGGGAACATTCTTTTTTGTTCTTTAATTCGAGTTCTAGTTAATGTTTGATCGGTCTTAATTCATTATACATAGGTGTTCAACGACTTTAATTATGTATTGATTCTCGTAATCGTCGCTTCCCCCTAATATTACACGACGTCCCCGCCCCCCACCCAGGCAACTATCCATAATCCGGTGCCTGATTCGTTTAATATGAGGGGGGATATTAATTGAAAGATCTATTCAAAGCATCAGAAGGGCTGCCTCTAGAAGCCCTTTTAAAGCCCTAATCTTATTAAACCACCTGAAATCGAAAACATCCAGTTAAAAACATTGAAATCGAATTTAGATCCACTAAACTCAATTGACATCGTGTTGGAATCCAACGAAACTGCCTGTGTGCAGGTGCAGCTCATGTAAACGCACTTGTTGATGCACTCATTCCGCAGCCCATCTTTGACTTAGGATGGTAAGTAGGGCAGTTAATGAGCCTTAAGTACTTCCAACTAGATGTACAAATGTGCCATCGTGCAGTACAGTAAATGTACAGTTCTTTGTCAAAAAACGTGATGTAGCTTCTTTAGAAGTATTACCTCTTGTGTGTTCTGCCGTGCGGCAAAAAGAATGCTGCGTGCACCCTGGATTTGCCATGTCGTACAGCAGGTGATGAGCCCAAGCCTGCCACTATTCTCCAATTGAGAGTTCTTCTTCAAAGATGAGGCAAGTCGACGGCAACATGGCTGGAGGCCAAAGTGGTGATGAACTGCGCTGTGAGGGTCATATCCTTTTCAGAAGCTCTGGAGGAGGTTCTGGACGCGATTTTTTCGAAGCCTCAGTTTACGGGCCACAAGGTGAGTTGGGAGTAATTCCGGCTCATGCTTTGGTAGCGGGACCGCCACGGCAGTATTCGGAAGGCGACCGTGATGGCACGACTGGAACGATCAGCAGCAGTTCTAAACTGGCTACAGTAGTACCCGCCATAGTTGTATGACTGGCGACGGTCCCTGGACCAGGGAGAGTTGCCCGCCATATAGCTGTGGTCCGGGAGTGAATTGTAGCAACGTGAGTGTTGTCGGTGATCGACCCGTGATTAGGGAACGTTACCCACTTCATGAACGAGTGCCACCAGGTTTCAGTTGGGGTCACTCTGGAATGACAATCTCTGAAGGGGACGCCCGGATGCGAATGCCGGCGACAGGTTACAGTCAACTGGAAAGTGGTCACGTACAGCCCTTGAGGGCTCAGGGCCCTGTGAACAGTGGTGTTCCGCAAACTGCTGGCAGTGGTACTGGAAATGTGACTGGTTACAGTGAAGAGTACGTAGCTCTTCTGCAACGATTGTTGGAAATTGAAGGTGGTCGGGCGTTGTATGCCCAGATTCAGGGTACGTGGAACGTTGTACAAGCGGAGTGGGTGCCAGTAGTGCGCCGCATTGTACAGGCTGATGAGAACGAGGGTCGTGGCCAAACCCAGTCTAATAGCGTAGCAGTAGGCGTACGTTATCCGTTGTCTGATAGTGGAATCAGGCAGGATAGTGTGTTGGAAAGTGGCATGTGCACACCCTTTCCAGTGGAGTCCTTTATGGACAGTAGCGTTGGAGGTACTGAACTAGGTTATGGTAGTGGCTGTGTTGGGAACGTAACCCCTAACCCGCCTAGTATCCCTCCTCAGGCTACATACCCAGTGTTGACCGGTAGTGGTCAGGGCTCCAGAGTCGTATAAGGGCTAAGCCCGAGTAGTTGTGCTGCTGTTAATCAGGCCGCGGGTCCGTATGACTCAATGCAGCATTATGGTGTGGGGTGCAGTGATTTTGCACGAATCCCTAATCAAGCCAGTGTAAGACCTATGGTTGGTCAGGCTTGTAAGACAGGTGCTGCGCCTTTGAGCGGCGTGAATGTCCCAGGTTTCCCAATTGGCGTATACTGCAATGTCCAAGGACGTCTATCCAGGAAAACAGATAGGCGATAATCCGCTCCTTAAAAAAGGGGCGCCCTCAAAGCCATCTCTGGTTGACTTAGGTGCCTGGGCAGAAGCAGAAGGAAACAGCTCAGTTGAGGAGGCGATCAGGGCGCTACGACGGCAACAGCTTCAGAATGAAATGCTTCAAAAGCAACTTGAGCTGAAGAATCTACGTAGAGAGTTGGAGTGTAGGGAGGATTCCGTTTCGAATGGCGGTCGCAGTGATGTAGTCTTTCCTCCTCTACCACCTCCTCCATCGTATTTTGAAGCTCAAGTTTGCCCCCCATCGTATCCTCCAGGATTGGCTGATGATCTTGCAGCACGAAAGACTAAGGATCGTCCACCATCACCTCCAATTCCCGGTGTTGAAAAGGGTAATGGTTGTGAGCAAGTTGACTTAGGTCATCCACCACCTCCACTTGGTCCCCCATCGAAAGGTTCATCTGTGGTAAGTTCAAGCTCAAATAAGTCAAGGTCTTCCACAGGAACCGCTAGAGGGATCAAAAGGGTATTGAGGTTGAGACTAAGACCCTCGTCGAGGATAGTAGTGGTTTGCCATCCGATACCACTTCAGATGCCCAGGGAGGTTCTCCTTCAGTCAGCAAGAAGGACAAGCTACCCAGTGTAGCTAAGCGTACGCCGTGTGAAAATGCTGAGAGAGATCCCTCCACAGTCGAAAAGGTCACAGTGCAGGAAGTGACCTCGACTGACGGGGCGGAACACAATCCCAATGCTCGCCGCTGGGAAAGGGGTTCCGGGAAGGAAGCCCAGCCGAAGCCTGCGGGCTCTGTAGAAGATGGTTCTAATATTCAGGAATCAATTAGCCAAAGCCAGGGCTCAGGTGCACCAAGTGCTACTCAAGCCGTCGTCTTCTAAGTTGCTCAAGGTCGAGTTTTCAGACCTAAGCACTGGAGTGAGTTACCACGCTTGGATCCAATGGAGTCCCCTACAGAGCGGACACTTCGGTAAAGTATATGGAAGAAATCTACTTCCGCGCCCCTGAGATTCTTCGTAGGACACGAAATAAGGGGATGGATTCAGTCCTGTTGATTGACTCGGCAGCGAGCAGGACACTACACTCACAACCACGACGCTTTTCATGGAATAGGAGCTGCTGCCCCGTGTTATGGGAAACTGGCTGCCCCTTTGGACAGCCATGATTATTTCGCCTGGTCCAAGTGTTCCATTTAATGGAAAAAAGTCAGGGACAGGCGGTTCCTTTGTAGAAGGAGTGTTGGTGGAGTGGTCAACTGACCCAAGTGTGTCTGATTCCTGGGAAGTAAAGGATGTCAGAAGGACCTCAGTAAAGCAAGGCTGTTTCAGGAGCTATGTGATCTCTTCAAGCCTTTGACAAATTAAGTAGGCCAAACTAAGAGGCTGCGGGCCCAACTGGATGGCGTAACCTCCTGGAAAAAGTTAGAGTTGCTGTGCGCTCAGTACACGACGCAGCATCCCAGGATGGTGGAAGATGGAATTGCTACGCTATCCGCTGGAGTTGGGGCAAGTGGTAGTTGGCGGCCCAAACAAGTCTTGTGGTTCAAGAGGAGGTCGGGACGGGAAGTCTGACCAGAAAAAGCGTGGCGGAAGATGATCCTGGCAAGGTAGCTAATGTTGCAGTTTATCCAGCATAGAAATTTGGTCAGGAGACGAAGGGTCTGTATGGTCCTTTCCTAAATAAGAATATCCTACAGCAAATTATCGTGGCATCAACACTGAACACGCCGCAGGGTAAGAAATCCCAGGCGCTTGTAGTTCTAGACGTTGGTGGACAACAAGGACCAGGGGACTGTTTTTGCAGCGGATGCCCCGTCTGAATAAGTTGAAAAGGCAGAACCGAGTTCCCAAGCTGCTACGGGTGCTTCCAGG